CCTATCCCTCGTGTGCCTTGCTCCCACGACTGAGAGAGAGAGAGAGAGAGAGAGAGAGACTGCTATAGATGGATGAACAGGCAGAAAATCAGCTGAATCTAGAAATTGTTCCAAGCAACCATATGGGAAGATGGATCGATTCAACATATTCAACAGAACAACTAGAGGTTACAAAAGAGGAAAATGAAGTAAATGAAAAAGGAGGGTCCTAAATCACTTCAAGTGTGAACAGTATAATCACAACTCATCTATATACTAAACTTTTAAATCTTTGAACCTAAATCCTTAGACTCATTAAGATTAGGAGGTTTGGATATGTGAGAGAGAGAGAGAACAGAGACACAGAAAGATTATGTTTTTCAATATTTTTTAACTTTTCATCCCATCACACACCACTCCAACAAATGAAATGAAATCGATCCTCTACTTAAAGAGACATGAATATCACATTTTTCCTCAAAGAACAAGCCACTCCTCAAAACCATATCAATGAACAGATGGTTACCTTATTCTCTGATAATTCAGTGAGATATAATAGCAATTTGTTTAACAGAAATAACTTGAAAAGCATATCAGTCAGAAGTGCTTTCTACACCAGCAGGGCCATATCAAATTTGCTTCCAGTAATCTTGAGATTAGCGCACCACCAAAGTGTTTTGTTGTTTCAAAACTATAATCTTGAGATTAGCGCACCACCAAAATATTTTGTTGTTTCAAAACTACCTTTACCAAAAAACAAAAAAAAAAGGAAAAAAAGTATACTACCTAATAGAAACATAAAAATAAGTATAAACTTACGTAGTCTCAGGTGATTCTATGTGAAACAATGAATATCTACATACGTTGGGCTATCTCAATTCAGATTAACATACAATTGGGTATAGCAAAAATTCACTTCAAAATTTTAGCTAGAAATCAGTGAAAAACGGTTGAAACCAACCTGCCGTAAAAAGTTCAGCTCATAAATGCTCCCCTCAGTTGAAGGGAGAAGAGCTGGAGTAGGATCAGGGAACCATTATAGTACGAAAGCTTGCAGTTAAATTACAAAAGATTTGGATCCCTAGAGTACCTAGTGAATGATCAAACTTATATACATTTTCAAAGAACCAGAGAATTCCGATCTACTGATTATACATCTTGTCTAAAATTCAAGAAAACTGGCAGAAATCTACAGTCAAAAGCCTCTTGAAGAGCTGTTGCCCTCAGTTGAAATAAGAAAAAACTGGAGCAGGGCCATATGTCAATTTATCCCCAAAGAGAGAGAGAGAGAGAGAGAGAGAGAGAGAGAGAGAGAGAGAGAGAGAGAGAGAGAGAGAGAGAGAGAGAGAGTAGTATTATTAGTAGGTAGGTACGTTAGTTAAGTTAAGTAGTACGACGACGAGACGTAGTTAGTTATTAGTTAGTTATTAGTATACTAACTA